TCTCCTTTCTCTCACTTTTTTTCTGTTTTGCAAACCTAAAACCTATTAGGATTCAAGACTGATTACAGTCTTGATCTTCTACTGCACCAACATATTACAAATAAGGATGATTGGTTTCATGTTGTGTTGTGCAGTTCTCTAATATTCACTGTGTGAGTGCTGTGGTAAGGCTAGGAGTGGTGGTCTCCTTGGAGGACGAAGGAAGGCTGGGAACAAGGGTAGGCTAAGGGTTTCTATCGACAGAGTCTTGTGTTCGTTATGATTCACGCCTCCTTTTATAGGGAGAGATCCCGAGGTCCCAAAAGGAAGGAGCCAAAAGAGTTTGATTCCCATTTGGAAAGGGAGTCTTTGATTCATTGTCAGTTGTCAGGGGGACACTGCTAGGGGTTTGCCACGTGTCTTACGAGATCTCTCCAGAATGAAGTTTCCTTTTGTCTGAGGATTCTCATAATACGTGTGCTACTTCTTTTTGCGGGTCTCCTGGGCTGACATGGCACGGATGATGTCAAGACCGGTCTTAACATGTCCAACTTAATCCTGTTAGATGTTCTGCCGCGAGCGTTTTTTGGCTAACCGTTATTCTTTCATTCGTCGCCAACCTGCAATGGCTTTGAGCTCATCGCAAGTCTGTGGTAACCTTGAATCTGTTGTTGGTATGCTGTAGCGTTGAGCTCATTGCAGGTCTGTGGTGGCTTTGAGCTCATCGCAGGTCTGCGATGGCTTTGAGCTCATTGCAAATCTGTGACGGCTTTGAGCTCATCGCAAGTTCGTGAGGAGTTGTGAACTCATCGCGGGTGTCTTTGCAGTATTGGTTTAGTGCCTTCATTGTCATTGCAGTCATGGTGAGCAACATATACCTACACATTGTTTAAGAGTTCTTGAATTATGACAAAGGTCTGATTTGGGATTAGGGAATCTGATATGCATAGACTTGGGTCCATATGATGATTCAGTAGTTTGAGAAGGATATTCTACATGCAATACCTCCTTTTTTCATAATTTTTCTTTTTTTTTTTTTCCTTTTTGTTTATGAGCGACATATTTAAAAACTTCTATTGGGGAACTATTGTGTCATCTACTGCATTTGGTGTAAGGCCAGTTCAGCTATGCCAACCGCCATATCATCCCTGTTTGAAAAAAAAAAATTGATGGTTGCACTCTAGGCAATCCAGGGCCATCTGGATTGGAGTAGGAGGTGCTATTGAAAACCATGAATGGGATACTATTTTTGGTTTGCCTTGTGCCTATAGGAATGGAGGATATTAGTGATGGCTGAGATCCTTACTGTCTGGACTGAGATCAGGCTGATCGGCTTTATCTCTGTGTTGCTGGTTATTGGAAATGGAAGGGCACTCCCAAGTGGCAATTGGTTTAATGAAGGAAGCAGATGGATGTTTGATCCTATGACATCATATTAGAGAGGCTAGATGGGTGGTGTCAAGGCTGAACTGTATTTTCAGGTGAGTTCGTGGATCTCCATATCCGTGGCAGATGCATTACTATGAAAGGGGTTGATAATGAATAAAAAAATAGTGGACTTTCTGCTATGGGGAAGTTGTAGGTTTTAGAATGTATTGGTGGGCGAAATGTGGGGCTGCTCTATTGACTGGCCATGGGGCGATATAGTATCTTTACTGCTAGGAGAAAAGAATAATAAGTACAACAGCCAACCAGAAACTTTTGTAACTGTCTATTTGTATTGTATGGATGCTTAAAAAATGGGTACCATGTTTGTGTTGGACACTTCAATTTTTAGTGTAAATTCTGTGTCAAACACCCTGCCCAAGCTATGTCTTTTCCATGTCCATGTAACATAGCTCACTAGTGCCCTTCAAAGAGAAGGCATCCTGATATAATGAAGCCAATTCAAGCCCTATTTGCTCCATCTCTTCCCAAAGAATCTTCAACAGGCTAAGCACTTTGCCTCTATTCAAAATGACTTTAATCCATGGACCCCTGCCTCCAAAGAAAAATGTGCATCCACTCTATCACCCCTTGGTAGTATCCCTAAAACTAAATGAGTATTTGGGTGAGAATCTGAACTGCATTCCTTGGAGTGATAGGAGCTCAGCTCCTATAAGGTCCAAGTAAATCAGTTGAAGTTTTTCATCCTGATTTCTGAATGCTCTTCCTATTCCTTATTATGTTCTTTTGCCATAATTTCCTTAAGTTTCATTTTAGCTTCTTTTTGTTCACGTATAAAGAGAGTGTTCTCAAATTCCTTCTTTTACCTTAATTTCATTTTTGTTTTCAGACTTCTGAAGATATGTTAAATCCCTAAGTCAGTTCTTGTAGTTAAATCTGAACAACATTTGCTGTTCTCAATGTTTTGCAATTCTCCTGGTTAAATTTTCTTATGGAATACAAAGAGAAACGATATCATGGTATTGTTTCTTTTTGATTGGCTCATCCATCTATCCTGCATGGTTACTTTGGATCCCCCTTCCCTGGGTTTTATGCAACACTGCATAGAATGCAAAAGTTAGGTCCTTGGAAGCTGTGTTAATGTGATTCATCCTCTTTCTTTGTACCTGCTTTACAGGTACAATGAATTCTTTTGTACTCTCTCTCTCTCTCTCTCTCTCTTTCTCTCTCCCCTGTGTGCCACACAAATTGCTATTACTTGCTCTTCAGATGGATTTGCATGACCTAAAATTGCTGAGGTGGTTGCAGGAAAGATGAAAGGAATTGCATTCATCAAGGATCCTGATGGCTATTGGATTGAAATCTTTGACCTCAAAACCATTGGGACTGTAACTTCTACTGCTGCTTGAGAAAATACCATGATCACCAAGGTAGACATTCATAGCTTCTTTCCTTTTTTTTTTTCTTGGAATTTGGTTTCTCTTTTATGTTAAACCTGAAAATATCAGTTACAAGTTCAGAATGAGGTCCAATCTTGTGGATTAAAAGCTAGTACTAAAAGCTTGTGTAGTAAAACCTAGATGGCATAAATTTATCAGAAAAAAAAAACTTAGATGGCATAGCATCACATAATCACATTGGTATTTTAATATGGTAGCTTATAATGCTGCCTTTGGTTGCAGTGCAATTTTATTTGCACTATATAATGCATAGGAGTGCAAATGAGAAGAATGCAAACGCTGTCTCTGGTTTAATTTTGTTTTGGGTTTTACTTATTAGGTCTTTTTTTGCATCGTTCATACTGTAATAAAACAAAATAAGGTAAAATTTGAAACAAAATCAGAATTTGCACCCAAATCATTTGCATTACCATAGTTTTGCATCAATACAATGAAATTTGCACTGCAACCAAACGCACAGCCAAGATACAAATTTTTCCCTTGACAAGCTCCTAGGTGTTCAACATGTCTGGTATGTACATGGTGACTACACGCTGGATTGACCCAAAGGTAGTGTTTCCCGTGGAGGCTGTCAGAGGCTTCTTAAGCAGGATGATTTGGCTAGTTTTCACCAATATGTATGATTTTATTTTTTCAAAACATAAAAAAAACTGCAAACATCAGAAAAGATAATGCTATTTTTCTGATGAAGACAGTAGTCTTCTTTTGAAATTGATAAACAAAATCACATATTGATGAACACCCCTGTAGTCATTTATTCAGACTGTTCAGTGGGTGTTGAAATTCTTTGGGAATTGGGAGTGATGAACCAATGCAAGACTGACCTTGCACAATCTAAAACCATGGTCTTAACTTTGACCTAGGCTGTGGGAAAGCTAAAAGGTACTTGAAGGCCATAACTGTATCTCAGAATCGAATCCTCTTTTTTTCTTAGCAAATTTTCTTCATTTTTATCTTAAAAAAAAGGTCTTCTCAGAATTGAAATATGCTGGTCTCATCACTGCAGGAAATGAGGAGTGGAGTTCTTTACCATCTGCTGGATGTCACTGTCTGTTGCTTTCATGGATGAAGTTCTTTCGTTTTCTTTCTCCTCACCCCTCACTTTTTCTCATTTGCTGTAGAATTGTGGTCCTTTTTATCAGGATTGTGATGAAACTGCTATAACCGTTTTGTGCAAATTTTCTTTCGGTTTCTGTCTAGATCAACCCATATTGTTACAGAACCCCTTGGGGTTGCAAAGGGACAAAATATAAAGAGCCACATGTTCAAAATTCGGCGATTATTTATGCAACCAAAGCCAGAGATCTATGGTCTGGTTTCCGGTTGATCACTAGGGACCTTGTGCCATTGTCCACTCCTGCTGTTTGCTGGAAAAATTTGTCCAAACAGCTTGCTCGCACTAATGTTTTATAGAAGTGCTCGTCGGGCCAGACAGGCCAGAGATAGGCACAAACACAACCAAGCAGGCCTAGCTTCGAAGATCATTTGACTGTAGTACCAAACAGACTAATAGCAGTTGGATAACGGAGGAACATATGGAGCCTTGCATTCATGAGTTTCTCATAGGATATTGATAATTTCTTTCTTTTTTTTGGCGTTTTCTAGAAAAAGAAAGAAAGTAATAATATGCAGGTGAAGAATGCTAATCGTACTCTTATGAATTGAACCATGGTTTGAAAACCATGTCTCAACCTGGGTAATCACTGGGTAGAGTCATGGTTAACCAGGATCAGGAGGGTCTAAAATTGGTCGGCCCAATTCAGACATCAGAGTTTGGTCAAGTCACATTAACTTCCAAGATGTTGGAAACTTGAAATTTTGGGAAAAGGATGAACGTTTAGGTGCTATTTTTGACATGCTTTAATTATACAGTTTCTATTTTATTATCATAGTCTTTTACTAATAGGGGTGCAAGTCGGGCGGGTTGGGCCGGGTTTATGGTCAACCCAGGCCCGGCTCTAAAGTTTGGGCTTAAGGCCCGAGCCCGGCCTGAGCTTGAGGTGAAGCCCGATTTTCTCAACCCGAGCCCAGTCTGCCTTGTAATTTGATGCAATCGGGTTGGGCTCGGGTTGGTCAATGAACCCACTCTAAAAGTATAGATATATAAATGTATTTATGTAAATATATATACATATGTATGTAAATCTGTATGCAAAATATTTATACAAGTGTTATATATACAAATATGTATGTATATATATGCAAATATGGATGCAACATTTATATATATATATATATATATATATATATATATATACACATATATGTATAAATGTATATAATTGGGCCGGGCTCGGGTCGGTTTGGGATACCTAAGGGTTAGGCCCGAGCTTGGCCTAAAAAATAAAAAAAACTCGACTTCTTGGGCCTGAGCCCAGCCCAAGGATTGAAAATCTAAGCCCAGTTCTTGTAAAATTTTGGGTTGGGCCGGTTCGGTCTTAGGCTAGGCCTAGGGGTGTCAATGGACCGGTTTTGGGTTGGATTTTGTCCAAATCAAAATTCATTTGGATGGATTGGACGGATCAATAAGATATATTGAATTTGGACGGATTGGATGGACCAATATGACATATTGGATTGGACCAGGTCCATCCATAATGAATTTATATTGGATTGAGCCAATATTTGGTACATTGAAGATAAGAACATAGGTGTCAATGGACCAGGTTTTAGTTGAAATCAGTCTAAATTAACAGAAATTTGAACAGATTGGACAGTCTCTGGACTGGTCCAAAATATTCATTGGACTGGATTGGACCAGGTCCATTTGTAATGGACTCACATTGGGCTGGACCGGATTGGACCAAATCTAGTCCAATTGACACCTCTAGCTGGGCCCGCCCAAGTTGCACCCCTAATTACTAATAAAGTACTAATATCATATATTACTCCAAAGAAATTAGAAGCTATATATTAAGGGTATGGTGCACTGCCTTAAATATATGGATGGAAATACAATGGTAAATGGAAGGTGGTGGTAAGGGCATGTTCGTTTCCTCTCAACTTTTATCTCTTAAGAGGAATCTTTTAACTTTAAGAGAAAAATGGTTATTCGTTTCCTCTTATCTCTTATTTCTTGAAGTGTAATCATACAACTTTTTGTTTTCCAATAATACCTCCAAAAAGACAAACAAAACTCTCATACATGGGATCAGAATGAATCTTTGATAATTTTCAAAATTCAGAACAACATTCTTTGCATTCAGAGTTCAAATGAAAGAAAAGTTCACTAATACCAATATACCTCTTAATGTAATTATTGCACTTTCAAATGTCAAACTTCAGAGCAAATGAACAGGCCCTAAGAGTGGTCTAAGAGGCAAAGGCTGAGACGATCAGAATGCTTGAATTCCTTCCTCAAGGGGAGGAATCCCTATTGAGAACCAAATGAAAGATTTTAAAATATTCCTAAGGTGATTAAGGTTCAAATCCCTAGGATGATTCAAGGACATGTGCTAGATATTGCACAAGGAACATGTAGCCCGTGTCTACAAGTTTATGATCTATGACGATCAATACCCACCTTCACGGGCGAATGAGGATAATAAGGGCAGGCAAATCAAGAGCTTTAATTTAAGGCAATTTCTTTTTCCCGTAGCTTCCACATCAAGCTTCAGGAATCAACTCATTTAGAAAGTCCCATCCAGCCAGGTATAAGCCCGCACCAGCAGCCAGATTAGGAGATCTTAAAGACCTATTTTTAACATCATATATTTTCTGGTATCACAGTCTATAGTCGAACTCATAAAAGGTAAGGTTGTGTTTGGTTTGAAGGAAAATGTAGGGAAAGGTATGGAACCTATACAAGGTTTGTAAAGGTTTCCCTACATTTCCCTTCCTTTCCCTATCTTTTCCTTCAAACCAAACATAGCCCAAGTAAATAATTTGTTGTGGCTTCACGAGAGTGTACTTTGTGCATTGTGGGTAACTTCGCTCAACTTAGGGACCGAGGCTCACCAATGGGTACCAAGTCTCTCATGTGCAATTGTGCATCGAAGGTCTGCAACATTCTTTCAAGCTATTATAGCATTCTCTTACAATGGTACTAATTGCTGGAAATTATACAATGATAAAGTCAAGGTTTAAAGTATCAGAAACGCAAGGTGTATCGGAAAGATAATTTTAAGAGATGTATCGGGATATGTTTTGGATATGCATGGATACAGACGAAAAATCAAGATACGCATAAATATGTTAAGAAATTCAAAAAAATCATAAAAAATATATTATTAACAATGSTTACAAGTTTTATATGATTGTAAATAAATCATTTAAATGTAAAAAATCATAATTTAACTTTTATATAAAATGTGACATATTGATACATAATTAGTAGCCGTTGAAAAATGATGGAATAACTAGAATGTGAAAAAAAACAAAAAAAAAACTAAAATGTGAATGTATATACATCAATTTTCAAATAACCGATATAATTATCTTAATATTTATTAATATATAAATGTTAATAATTAATTTCAGCATTTATTAGTAAGCACCACTAAGAAAAGAAAAACAATTGACTTAAAACTAAAAATGCATGTAATTACACCAAACAAATTGGATTTGTTTAGTGGTGAAATTATGTGTATTAAAATTTGGTGACCAAGGTTGAAGTCTTGCTATTGTTAATATTTGTAGTTTTTACACTAACAAAACGAAATTAATGAGAGAGAGAGTGCTAAAATTTAAATTTAAATTTGCCTTAAATATAAGAGTAATTAACTAATTAATGAAGAAGTTAGGCTTAAATAGATAAGTAATAAAATACATTAATGAGAGAGATTCGGTATTAAATATAGATTAATTGAACAAGGGAAACCATTTTAGATTGTATTGGCCGAGCTGATACAATATTTTAAACCTTGGATAAAGTTATTTATCATTTTCTATTTATTAGGTAAGTGCAGCTATTCATTTTTTTTAAATATGTGTTTGATTGCATTGATGTTTATAGATGGAGTGTTTCTTAAATAAATATTTAATTGAAAAAACGTAAGTGTTCATTGTTTTTGTTGTTTGGTTGATTGTTTTATGAGTGTTTTAAGTACCCCATAAAACTATCTTCCACCTTAGCTTACAATGCTCTAGGTAAGCATTTTGTTTCAATAAATGTTGGGGCATTAGGAGAAACCAGAATTTGAGGTTTTCCCAATGTTATATGCAAATAAATCCTAGCGTTTATGTTTTTTAATGTTTATTTGTTAAACATTGAAACCAAACAATGGTTCTGTGCACAATAATTTCCAATGCTTAATGGTGGTGTTTTTCCAATAAACACCCACGTAATCAAACATAATTTTATTTCCCATCTAAATAAGATAATGACTATTTTAGCTTTAAAAAACATTATTAAAAGGGATAATTTTGTTTCATCCGAGTGTAAAACAACTTTCCTCTAAGGTGGCAAAGTTACTTACCCACCTAGGAGTAAGTGATTTAGGAAAATAAATTTTCAGTAGATCTCACATAAATATAGAAAAAGAACATGGGTTTCTTGGTCAATAGAAACCAAAATCCCATTAATCAACTTTCCTTTATGTCAAAATCCAAGAAACTAACAAACCATTAGGCTTAGTTTGAAAGGAGTACAAATACAAATATGTAGTGTGCAAAACCTTGTATTTTGTATTATTTTGTATGTATTTGCACAGTATATATTTGTATTTGTACTCCTTCCAAATTGAGCATTAGATTTATCAAGAAAGGTGTAAATGTAGAATGAAAGTGAATTTACATTTCAGATTGGTTTTGTGGGTTTTTGGTATGAATGCGTTTTTGTATAGAAAATAAAAGTTTTTTTCATTTATTTTTTCTTTTAAAATAGGAGCAAGATTTATGTTGTATTTAGTTAGGCTCAGTTTGGAAGGAGTACAAATGTAAATTGTAAATACATACAAAATAATACAAATACACGGTTTTGTACGTTATAAATTTGCATTTGTACTCCTTCCAAATCGAGCCTTATCGATTATCTTTGCGTTAGATGGTCGAAATTTTCTAAAGATGCATTGCATTAAGAGCCATTTGATAACAGAACAGCTGAACTGAATTGCTTATTTACTTTTTGTTTTAGTGGATGTTACATGTTAGATAGATTACTACTCACTAGAAGACTTATAAATAATTCAGTTCAGCCACTTCAGCTGTTATCCAACGGCCTGCCGCGACGACCAACGAACCAGGTCCCAACAGTCCGTCCAAGCCCCAAGGTTTGAGTTTGTGGTTATCAGATCGTTGACCACGACTGGTTAGGGACGCCGGACCACAACTGCGTTTGTTTTGAGTGGCAGTTTTGTTCGGTTGCTTCAAATCTTCAATCCTCGGCCGCTCTTTTTTTCAATAAAAAATACAACTTGGTTGTGGTCATCTGATCAGAATCTACAGAAAGCAATGGATACATTACCCAAGCATCGATGGACCCAAGATTCCAATCTAGTGGTTAAGAGACCGTTTTCTTGGAATAATTGCTAAAAATTAATTTTGTGGGTCCGGCTTCCACGTTGGGATCTTAACCTAACATGTGGCGCGGGATTTCTGTTTTTTTACTTTTCTGAGTTTTCCTCCTTTCTTCCTTCCTGCTTCCTGAAAGTGTATTGGGATTCCTCTACTTTTCTCATGGCGGAGTCCTCTGCTCTTTGTTTTTCCACCTTCCCTTCTTTTTCGATCTTCTCTGGCTCCAGAGAAACACCCGCGCCCGTGAACTTGTCTTTCTCTTCTCTCGCCAAATTCTCCTTGGTTCATCGGCAATCTTCTCGTCTAGTCCGAGTCGGTGCCAAAGATCTCAATGCCGGCGATTTCCTGGGTGACGATTCCTTCGGTTTATACCCCTGGGACTCTCCAAATCGCGATGGAAATGGCGGTGAGTCGTCGGTTGCATCGCTTTTCTCTTTCTCCTTCGGTCCTTCCCATTTCGTTTTCGTGATTTTGAATTCTTTTTGACTCGATCGCTTGAATTCGAGCGGCGAATGATAAAATTTGAAGTTTTAATGGTTTTGATTTTATTATTGAAGCCGGATATAAGCCTTATGTGTTTTATTTCTCTATATTGCCTTTTTTTTATCGTTGAGCATATCCTTTATTTTAGATGTTGCTGAGCCGTGCTTTGGGAATAAGAGGAAATTATGAGACACTGATCGCAGAAGTGTAAGCAAGGAAAGAGAGAAGTTTTGAGTGTCCTTATTATGATTCAAGATGAGGGTCGGAGACTTTTTCTTTTTTTTTTAAATATGATTATGCGCAGTGGGGAGTTCCTTTACCGATTTTTTTTTTTTAATCTAAATGCACCGCCCTCAGAATATCCGCATTCAATTTCAATTTTTGTCATGATTTGTAGGAATTCTTTTAGAAGTTAGCAGTTTCCTTTTGCATTGTTGCAGTTTCTTGTTTTTCCGAAACATTAGAATTTGGTATTTATTACTTAATGCGTGAATGCCCTATGAGATACTCTTCTCTTATTTGTTGCCATTTCATTGATGTTATTGAGTTATTCAATTTCTTCTGTTCTGTTATGAAAGAGAAGAAAAGAAGTTCTCGAACGATTGAAACAAAAGAAGCTGGGGAAAGCAGATTTTTTTTTTTAACAGAAACATAGCAGTTCCAAGAAAATAGCATTGTGAAATACTCGGATACGGCGTATTGTTTTTTCCCTTTTGAATTTAACCAATGAAACCTGGATTGCAATCACCATGCCCTGCACGGATGCATTTGGGTTCTTAAGCAGAAGGTTATTGTTTTTTCCCTTCTGTTTATGTAGTATTTTAGTTGACTAAAATATTGCTTTTTCATTATTTCATCCTAGATTCCATTTATAATCTTCGTACAAATTCCAAGAATGCATCCATACTTTATCTTGGTTAAACCAGTTTTTATGATCATTTTGGTTATTTCATTTCATTAACGGTTCTTGGGAAAAAAATATTTGAATGTTATAACCTGACCTTAAAGTTAAAGAATATTGAAATAAAACAAACTTAGTGTTGTATTGATTCTAAATACCTGAATTCATCTATTGCACTAAACTGTATTTAGAGACTAGTTAAGCCCCTCAATGTCCATGTACGTGGAGGTCTTCACATTCTTTTCTTGTTTGCTGAAATTGTTGAAAATTTATATGTTAAATCACAGTTATACACCATAAAGGCCAACTGTTTTACTAATAAATATTTAGTAAAACAAAAAGGATAGGATCAGGAATGAAGTCATCTATAGGAACTTAGGAGTAGCCCCAATAGGTGATAAGATGAGAGAAAGTAGACTATGATGGTTTGCTCATGTGCATAGAAGACCATCAACAGCACCGGTTAGAATAAGTGATTTGCTACAAGTTGAAGGGGCTAGAAGGGCTAAGGGTAGACCAAAAAGGACATGGTTGGAAGTAGTACGAAATGATTTAAGCACTAATTGTTTAACAGTGGATATGGATTTAAATAGAATAGGTTGGTGAAACAGGATTCATGTAGCCAACCCCATATAGTCGGGATAATGTGTGGATGATGACGATGATGATTTTCCTGATGGGCAAAGATATTTAGGAGAATCAGTAATTGTGCTACTAAATTGGATGAGCAAAATTATCCTTGGGAAGTCATAACACAACCGGAATACATTGGGTTCATTGGTTGGGTTGACCAAGTGGGAAAATCTATGCTGCCAGAAAGACATGGTAGTGGAAGGGCTTTGAGCAATCAAAACCCCCTGTGAATTTTGATAAGTACCACCTGATTGATTACCATTTTCTTTGATACCGGTTCATTGGTTACAAGTTTTCCCAGTATCGTGTGTTTCTGGTATTATGGTCAAACCCTGCCCAAGTAATCCAACTCAATATCAGGTTCACATTTTCCAACTTTTAACCCAATCTTCAACCCAACCCAACCCCGTATTTTCAGGTTGGGTTCAGGGTGGCCCAACCCAAGTTGCAGCACTACCCTAAATGTATTTCTCTGCTATAATGGATATACTATCTACGCTTAAAATTGGAGTCCTGGACTCCATACAGCCATTTTCTGGTGTCCAGGTACATAATCTGAATTTTGTCTGGGTGGGTATTCTAATAACATGAAAAGATGGTCTTCTAGATATTACCAATGCCTTCTATTTCTTTTTTTGATAACTTTTTTTTGCTAATCTGTATAACTGGTGGCAATTGTGCTGGGGTCTACAGCTATTGAATGGGTGCCTGAGGACAGAATTACACTTTTTACCGCTGATGGATTGATTCAAATAGGGGGTTCCATGGTTCCTCGCCGTATCTCTTCTTCAGATGTATGTTCATCTTTACTTCCACTTGTGAGATACTAGTGAGCATCATTTCTTCCTTTTTCTATAAGAAAAAGTTTTAAGGCTTTGGCAAATGGGATGGCGCTTGCAAAATGTAACTGGACTCAAAGAATCTATGATACATATTGCCATTAATTTCTATTTCATTACTTGTTAGCAAGATTTTCCTGTTTCAATGGATCATAAGTTTCTTCCCCCTATTTGCTTCATCAATGGTTGACGTACATTCAAGTTCCCTATGCACATGATAGTATCATATTTTGCCTTCCAAAGTTCTCCTGAAATATCATTTTTTTTTAATTTAAAGTCATATCCTATCTCATTTCTCAGTTTCAGTTCTTACCTTCTTTTTCTTTCCCTTTTTTTGTTTGGCTATTTCGGTCCTCCTTTGTTTTGCATCTTCCTTTGTTATTATTTCAATTTCCCTAAATTTCTTCTCAAAGATACCTGCATCTTTATTGTGCAGAAGAAACAAGGGAGATCAAAGGCTTCTCAAAGATTTCAGCGATTTCAAGAGAGTGATTACATGGATCCAAATCAAGGGCTATGTCTTGGTGCACTCTTTGATATTGCGGCAACAAATGTATGTAACAAGTTTATTTCTAATTATCTGTTATGAGATCTTTTATTTATTTATTTTTATTTGTATCTTATTCTTCTATTTCAGGGACTTGATATGGGCAGAAGACTCTGTATCTTTGGATTTTGCCGTTCAATTGAGATGCTAAGTGATGTTGTTGAAGACACTGTTTTGGAGCATGGTGGAGAGGTATGGTCTTTCTGCCAATGAGCTGTGGAACTACTTTAACTTTTCATGTTAGCTTAAATCTTTATTTATTTAGTAATTAATAAGCACGGTTTACCCAAAATTAATTTGATTATTAATTAGAACTGTACAATAAAGTGGAATGCTTGCTTGGATCTGTAGTTAGACATCAAGAAGAAAATACTGAGGCATCTGATGACAATTTTGACAAGCGTTTCATGGTTAACTAGATAGGGGCCATTACTTGGTGTGATGGTAAAATCTCAGGCTAGCAAGTGTGAGAATGCAGGTTCAAGTCTGAGAGTGGTCACTTTGTGTAAAAAATGACAAAGATTAGGACCGTATCCAGTCTAACCCTCCCAAGACCCCAGATAACCGGGACCAACGTTTGGTAATGGCATTTTATTTGATTGTTAACTAGATAGCACAGTAAGAGCTTGGAGGTCTCCAAGGTTTGTCAATCCAAGAATTTGGTATTGATTGGATTATATTGATATCATGTAATAAAATTTGTTTGCTTCATAACATTCTAATAATTGCCGCACACATCAATAGAGCACCTGTGAAACAAGTATTTTGGTCCAGAAATATTTCTCGGAAATTACTGGCAAATCCATTTTGTGATATGAGTGAGACCATCATATTTTCCTCCAAGAAGATTGCATTCTCTTTTTATGGTGTTGAGATATTAGAATCCAATGTACCATAATCCTTGATTCGGCAGTGAAATCTGATTCTCCCTACCATAACGATTGTATGCCATGTGACATGAAATCAGTGTTTCATGGCCTTTGAACCTACAATGAAATCTTCTAAGATGGTTTCATTTCCAATTGTTAAGAAAAATAAAAAAAAAAGATATCTAAATTCCGAGTGAACGGGTGACAATGGTAAATTGCTACATTTCAATACTGAATGCAATGGAATTCCAAAAGGAAATAATTTCATTCCAGTTAAGTTCTGAACACCCAATTAGGCCATTATTGTTTGTTGATAACTAATCCTAAATGGAAGTTCACTTCTCAGAATTGATTTATATAAATCCTTTGTCAGGTTGTAGCGGCAGAGAAGGCAAGCAAGGGAGGCCTGCATGAAAAGCTAACCATGACAGTTGCTGTGCCACTTCTATGGGGAGTTCCTCCTGCATCAGAGACACTGCACCTTGCTGTCCGGAGTGGTGGAGGGATCGTTGAGAAGATATATTGGCAGTGGGACTTCTTGTAAAATAATCCATGTCTTCCCCAACCTCCTTCCATCAATGTGTATTCTGTACATAATTTGTTGACTTGTTATTGTATAATAACGGAAATTGTTTATGGTATTCCGTATTGGTGCTTAACCAAACTGGCACTGGAATGGTGCCGTGTAGTAGTAGTAGTTACTATATATATAGACTTATCGTTCACGTCCATATTTTTCTTTGACAAGGCAATGTGCATATCTCATTAACCATTTGGTTCATTTATTAATTTGACTGTTTTGCCCATGAAAATGTGATTAAACCCCTTTTTTACTCCCAAGTCCCAAATGATTCCCTGCCTCGCACTTCTGTGGGAGATTTGGTGGTTTTCATGGAATCTTCGGTTTGCACTTTCAGATACGCCCGTTCCAACAAATTGGGTTTTGCTCCTTACACCAACCTCACAGCAATATCCCACCGTGTATTGGGAACATCTCCCAATCTGCGGCTGGGAGCGCTCTATGAGGAGCATATGTGAATTCGACTCCGTGCCAAGGCCCAACTACTGCCCAAGGGTGTGAGAGAGAGGGAGGCGTGGGAGAAGGGGAGGCAGCCACGTGTCGGTCCATCGTTTCTCCCTTCTGCTTTAAGTATTTGTAGATAGATAAATATATATTTATACAAAAAAAAATATCATATATATATCATGGGAATTTTCGGGCTACACCTATCGGTTACCAATGTTAGTGGTTTGGTTAGTCCGAAATCCGAATGTTCCGAATATAGGATTGTGTTGATGAATTCGGGCTTCGGCCACCCACCGGGTCGGATTCTACAATAAGTTGAACTGTTGAAATGTGGCAAAAGGTAGAAGACTGGTAAATGATGTAATATCTAATCTGCAATTCTGCGTACTGCACGCCTTCGTTTCTATCACTTCACTTCTTTTAGTGGACCACTGGAGTAAAGGAAGCAGCATCGCTGAAGAACGCTCCAATGGCGTCGGCAGCGGCAGCGGCAGCAACAGCCGTGGCTGCAGTATCCGCTGCATTTTCTTCAATTCAGATATCTTCCTCCTTCCTCGCCAAGCCCAGTCTCTGTTGCAGAAATTTCAGAAGAATCCCTCTTATAAGGTCTTCGATTTCCTCTTCCTCCACCGAGTTTAATATCTCGTTCGGTTCTGGTTCCAAAGAAACCCTAAAACCCAAACCTTTCTCAGAAGACGAGTTACCGAGACAAGAGCCGGATCTCCAACAAGCTCCAGACACTCCGCTCTTAATTCCATGGATTGTTCGAGACGAGAACGGCAATATCAAGCTCCAAATGACCCCTCCAGCTCGGTTTCTTCACGCCATGGACAACGCCAAGACCACGTCAACGGCAACCAAGAAGAAAAAGAAGTCCGCGAAAGCGCTTGCCTTGACGCCAGAGCCGAAGTATTCAAAGGCCTCTCGTAGGTTTTACAACCAAAACTTCAGAGATCCCCCTCAGCGACTCAGTAAGGTTCTTGCTGCCGCCGGAGGTAAAAATTCTAAAATTGGCGATTGGAATATTTTCTTTATGGTAATTGACGCTTGACAATTGGTATTTCAAAATTTCTTTTCATCAATTGCCAAAATACCGACTGGACAGTGTGGAATTGGACCTACAAAATGTTTTGAAGTGCTTCTTCCTTGTAACTTGTTTTTTGATTGTTGGATTCTGTGGTTATTGTCTTTAAGTGGCATCAAGACGAAGCAGCGAAGAACTTATCTTTGCAGGTCGAGTGACTGTTAATGGTTCTGTATGTAATACTCCTCAGGTATTTCCATTCTTTATTTATCTGTTTCTCTTTTACTGTTATATCAGTCGGACTCTATAATCTTTATAATGTTTTTTTTTTAATCTTTATAATGGTTGTGAGAATTGAGAAGGCATTCATGCATGCTGATGGTTTTCATGTGTATAGCGTAGTTAGAATTGCTTCCATTAAATAGTATTTTGGGTAACATGGGAAATCGGACTTCTTATATTGCAATTGAAAATTTGCTGGTGGTGCTGTGTAGACTCGAGTTGACCCAGCAAGGGATGTTATCTATGTTAATGGCAATCGACTCTCTAAGAAGCTGCCTCCCAAGGTGTATTTTGCCCTGAACAAGCCAAAAGGGTTGGTTTTCATTCTACAAGTGAGATGTTGGGTTTCTCTTTGATACTTAACTTTGCCATCCAAGGGTTTATTTTTGTTTTGAGCTTAATATATTTTGTGTAAATGGACTAGTTAATTGCATTAAATTGTTGCAGGTACATATGCTCATGTGGGGAGAAAGAGTCTAAATCAGTTATGTCCTTGTTTGATGATTATCTGAAGAGTTGGGTATGCCTTAGCTATATCTTTAGACCTGCTATTATTCTTTTTAGCTTTCTTGTTCCTCAAAAGATCACAAGTAATTAATTTAAAGAGTATCAAGGACACTCTTTTCTGCCTTTAATCATAGTCCTTTTTTCTGAAAAATATTTGTTGTGCTACCAAGGTTTTAATATAGCATGTTGCATTCTCAGGATAAGAGAAATCCAGGATTACCAAAACCAAGACTATTTACTGTTGGTCGTCTTGATGTTGCCACAACTGGATTGATTATTGTAACAAATGATGGTAAGTTTCATTACTATGTTTTAAATGGAGATGCCAACAACAAATTGACTGCTATCATGGTTTTCATAGATTTTAGATCAGAAATAAAATGCAGGCTTCTGATGCCAATTATAAAACTATCTCTTATCAGGAGATTTTGCTCAAAGACTTTCACATCCTTCATCTAAATTAACAAAAGAGTAAGTTTCATCTCTGATTTTCTGGCTTGTTTCATCAAATCTTTCATGCTTGAGATTCTAAAAATGGAAGAGCAAACGTTTCTCCTTCTCACATGATTTTTTATTAATCCTTACTGCACATCTTTATTTTGATCTATGCTAGATGGTAATTTTCAATTTGATTTCTTTAAAAAGGGTTTAGCTTTTTAGTGAAAATTTATTTTCCTTTGTAGATATATTGCTACCATAGTTGGAACTGTCAACAAGCGACACTTAATAGCCATCAGTGAGGGCACAATGATTGAAGGCATCCATTGCACTCCAGATTCTGTTGAGCTATTGCCACAACAGCCAGACATTCCAAGGCCCCGTCTTCGCATTGTGGTATTCTGTTATCACCATTAGGAATATGTAGATCGGCCATTTTATTTGATTGGGTATCTAGATCAGTCATTGTCACCTCCCCTCAATTATGATTACTAGATTCATTTTTCATATATGATTTCATCCTCTTGATTCATTTATGACATTGAATTTGGTGACCACTTTTTCTTTGAAATTGAGTTGGTTTTCTTGTTAGGGCTGTAGTTGAATTGGATCTACCTTCATTTGAATTTGATTCGATTACACAAATGCCTCATCCAAATTTGTTTAAAAAACTGATGGTTTTAAGGAGTGTCTGGTCAAATTTGAACCCAATTGGATCTTTTGGATTTTTGGATCAAATCCAGTTTGACATGTCATATTAAGAAAAAATGGTGACATAGGAAGTACAAAAATCTTGAGCCTCAAAGGAATAAAGTAATCTTTTGTTGAAACATCTTGAGCCATTCTTTACATAATCTATCATTCAATCCTTAGAATGCCTATGCATATAAGATAGGAAATGTATAGAAAGGACATAGGCCCAACACAATACCTTGTTGTGTAGGGGGTTGTAGTCTTTTGCTATTTTGATTAATACAATACTTCACCTTTTTCTCTCAAAAAAAAAAAAAAGGAAACTCATTCAGTTACCGGAGTTAAGACCATACCTGATCCAAGGGGAGAGAAAACTGGAAGCAAATCATGAATGGCTTTCCACGGAGAGGCAGCTGTAGCCCTTGCCAAAATTCCAGGTTCCCAACCATATGCTAGCCACAATCTTTGTCCACAATTTGTCTCTTTCCAATGGAAACCTCCATAACCATTTCCCCAACAATGCCATGTTCCTTTTCTTGACATTCCCAATCCCAAGACATCCTAGCTTTTTACATCTAGTTACCACCTCCCAACTCACCCTATGGTCCCTCTTTTCCTCTCCTGGCTTCCACAAGAAATTCCTCATTAATTTTTCCAAAATGTTAGAAACCTTTGTGGGGATCTTAAACACTGACAAGAAGTAAACAGGCATGTTAGCTAGGGTAGACCTAATCAAAGTGACTCCCCCCTAAGGAAAGGTAATTTTTCCTCCAAGAAACAAGCCTTTTTTTCAAATCTCTCCAATACTGGGTTCCAAAAGCTTTCCTTCTTAGGATTATCCCCTAAGGAGAGGCTTAAGTAAATCATAGGCCAATCCGAGGTTGCACAACCTAACACACCTGCATACTCACTTAGCTCCCTCTCCTTCAAATTCACACCCACCACTGCTCTTATCCAAGTTCACCTTGAGGTTAGACTTCTGCTCAAAGAGTTGTATTGCCAATTTTAAATTCCGGATCCAATTTATGTCTCCACATTCACAAAACAAGATTGTGTCATTTGCAAACTACAGATGTGTAAGTGGTTCCTACTCTCCATTTACACACATTCTATGTGTGTGTGTGTGTGTGTGTGTCTATGTAGCCAAATGCATGGTCCTTCATAGATGGATAGAATGATAGACACATTTTTTAAATTAAAATAAGGAAATATAGAAAGCATAATGCAAAATATGGAAGCCCTACCTTATGTGAAACAGCATAGCATGCACAACTACAAAAGATTCTAATGGTCATTGGATCCTCAGAAGTCCAAAGCAATCTTATGCACACAAAAATTAGCCAATGGATCGTCTAGAAAATTGGCATATAAGCCAATGAAATGAAATTTTCTCCCTAGATACCAATATTTTAATCTACACGAGAGTTGATGCTGAAGAAGATCACATGATGGTGGGATGGATCCAGAATGGTGGGTTTTCAGTGCTATAGTCTATAACCATCGGATTCAAGAAGCTAGATAGTGGCCAGGGGGGATATATCTCAGTCCACCTATGATTAATTACAAAAAGGAGACCTCAATCTTGGTTATCTCTGTTGTGTTCTTTGTAAGGCAAATGGTGAATCCTGCTTTCACCTGCTAATCTCCTGCCCTTTGGCTACTGGTATCTGGATTGCTTTCTTGCTTTGTTTGGTTGCAGGTGGGCACCTTCTAATCATAGTTTTCAAGGCGCCAATGCGAGGCTAGGTGACAGGGGGGGTCACCTAGTCACCTGGTGATGGATTTTTTTAAGTAAAAATCACATATCCTAGGGTAGTTCCCTAGGTTCCATAACCAACTTTCTTTAATAACTATCCATAATTTTCATAAGAAAATTATAAACTTCATGTTTAAGTCTAGAAAAGCAACATATTTATGAGAAGAAAAAGAAGAAAGGAAAGAAAATTCAAAAAACATAGGGCTGAACCCCTATTTTTGTTATAGGAAAAGAAGAAAAGAAATGTGTTGATTAGACAAAATTTTAAGTTCTTCCCTTATTGGTTCATATTTTGAAGTCATTGAGGGTTCAATACAGCAGTTAGCAATGCTTGTGTTGATTAAACCCTAACAAATAAGAAAATAAAAAAAAAGAAATAAGTTTATAAACACAAAAAATGAATATTTTTCCTTAATAATGTCTATTTTATAATTATAATCTCAAAAAAAAATAACAATATAGAAGTATTTTATTACACAGTATGCAAAATTGCTTGGCGAGCCTCCAAGGGTGCCTTGTCGCCTAGGCGTTGCCTTGACAACTATGCTCCTAATATTTTCAACTTCTTTGCTCATTTTTTACCTTTGTCTGCCCAAAGAAGAGAGGTAGAGTCATGTGGAGATACAAGGAATGCAACAACATAGAGCTGTCCATTGGCTGAAGTCTCTAGAGCTTTTTTCAGATTCTTGGTGGATGACTTCTATAGTAAGGAAGTGGCTGGAAGTAGGGGGTTAGCATGTATTATACTCCACCATCTGAGGGGTACATAAAATTGATCTTTCATGGTGGTAGTAGGGGGAATCCAGACCCTTCTTGGATGGGAGGTTATTCAGGAATGAGTTAGGTAAGGTGTGGCAATTTACTCAGGTCCAATTGACATTGGGGACTCATTGAGGGCAGAAGTGGTGGCAGTTATAGAAGGGGTAATCAAAGCAAAGGAGATGTAGGTGGATGATCTGATTATAGAAGAGGACTCTCAACTGGCTGCAAAAAAGGGAATATCTTATGGACGTATAAAAATAAATTAAAGAAAATTAAGTGGCTAATTCAGGGTATGGATATAAGAATTCAATGGGTCCAGAAAATGGCCAACAGTATGGCTGATTCTTTGGAAAGACAAGGGGTTCAGAAAAATCAAATGTTTTGGGCTCAATTGTAATATTCTGGAAAGGCTGTTTCCAAGATTTGAACCCTGGTCACCCAGGTCGCAATGGAGCAACCCAACCATTGCGCCAATCACTCCACTGGACAAGGGGCCAATTGTATTGGGATTCAGTATTACCCAAGTAAAGAGTGTTGTTTGTGGTACAAAAGGTGTATTGGGAGGTTGTGTGGGACAACCTAGGGATATCTGTCTTTTCTTCTTTCCTCTATGTTTTGTACTTTTGTTCTCTTTATTCTAAATTTCTAAGTAATAATGTTTTCTAGATCTTGTTACTGATCAAAAAGTCATGGATACCAATGTCTTAGCCCCTAGCTTCTGAAAGATCTTTCTAGGGTCCCTTCCAGGAAAGGAGCATTTACCTGATGAGACTATGACCTTCCTTTCACCTCCATTCTGTTTAGCCATAAATAAACTGTAGGTAATGGGATATCCTGGGGGTAGAAAGCTATTTCCTCCACCCAGTCTACTTCTGAATGGAATGTGAATACATGTTCTCATCCTGTACTACTACTACTACTACTACTACTACTATTATTATTATTATTATTATTATTATTATTATTATTATTATTATTATTATTATTATTATTAATGTGAAAAGATTAATTGCACCTTGAGCCACTTCAAAAGTTTGCACTTTCTCCTTCCATTGGATAGTTAATTGGCCATAATAGTATCATTATTCTTGGTTATACCAACTACCTCATCAATTGATTTGCCTAATACTTTGATCTAAAGCTGCTGACATATTCTATAATATCCATCGGTTCTAAGCATCATTTTTGGTTTCTTGTCCTCATGACACTGAATTTTTTGTCAATCAAGGGTAAAACATTTATGACCATGTTTTGCATATTATTTTTCCATTCACACCTTGGTAGTTGATGTTTTTTTTTCTTCTCTTTTGTCTGTTATCACTTTTGTAAGTCAGAATTGAACTTTAACTGAATTTTAACAGGTTCATGAAGGGAGAAATCATGAAGTTCGGGAACTTGTCAAAAATGCTGGACTGACGGTCAGCTTTCCTTTTGTGATACTATCCTTCTTCCTGCCTAAGAATTCCTGTTTCTGTTTTATCGTTATGTCTGGGTTTCATATTGAGTATTTATTTGTTTTTCAATTAATAATGATGTTTATTCAGACAGTGACTAGTAGTTGTGCCTAAAACCAAATCTTTATTTCTCTATATGAAAAGGTTTAGTTGTTTCTGATCTACCACACTACTAAGGTGGCGTTTGATAACACTTTTGAGACCTTTGAAGTCTGAAAATGTTGCTTTTCAGACGCCACCTATGTTTGGGTTGAGTTTGAAAAAAGGATCTGAAATGCATTTTCAGATCTGAATTTGTAAGAGATGGGCCAATGACTTAATGCGCTCAAACGTTTTTCAGACTATTAAAAGACAAAAATGCCCATTCTCGTTATGCCCCTCATTCTCCCCCGCTTGACGGTGACCCACCGACGCAAGCTTCTCCCTCCGCCATTCTCTCTCTCCCCCTGTCTTCCCGCCACCGCCACTGTTCAGCAGTGGTCCTGTCCTAGCAGTGGCATTCAATTTCCCTCTCTCTCTCTCTCTCTTCCATACTTCGAAACATAATCGTCACTATCTCCCTCTTCCATCCTTCATTTCCCTAACATTCCAACTGAGAATCCTCAACTTCCTCCTCTTTTCCTTGTCTTCCCCCTCCTTCCAATTCACTCAATCTTGTCCAACCCCTCCTCTTCTCCTCCTTCCTCGTCCCACCCCTTTATTTTTTCTAGATATTCTTCCCTCTTCTTTTTCTCTTCTCTTTTCTTTTTTTTTTTTTTTTTTTTCGAACTTCTCAATGCTATCTTTGCAAAGCCTTCCCTTCCTCAAAAAACTAGCCCGAGAGACTTTTCCACATCCACCTCCCTCTCCACCAGTTTATTAATATTCACCTTCCCGTTTTGAACTATTTCCTTGACATCTTGATCTTTTTGTCTGTTCTGCTCTCTCTCTCCCTCCTTCCCTCCCTCCCTGTCTCAGCAGCAGCATTTGATTTCCCTCTCCCTCTCTCTCTCTCTCTCTCTCCCCTGTCTTTCTGCCACCGCTGCTACAACTGAGTTGCAGCAGCGTTCAATTTCCCTCTTCCTCTCTCTCTCTCACAACAGTGGCCCTGTCTCAGCAGCAGCATTCGATTTTAAAATTTTATTTGTATTAATTATTAAATATTTTGATAGTTTAATTTAATAATTTGATAATTATTAAAATTTTTCATTGCTTAATGGACTTTATTACCATTTTCATTATTATTTTAACTTTTAATAATTTATTGTTAGTTTATAAATTTATATGTATTTTCAGTTTTATTCTTATTTTAATAATTTTTTTATAATTTATCATAATTTGTTCATATTTTTCAATATTATTTTGAATTTAATAAATTATATTTTATGAAATAGTACAAATTGAACTCAAAATTACAAAATAGTCTGTTCTAGGGGTAAATTGGTAAAATACTAAAATTAAGGAATTTTAGATGCTGAAGGTTTGATCCAACACAAACAACCTTCTCTGTTCAGAGCCTCTAAAAAGTCAAAAAGCGTCTATGTCTCTTTTCAGATTTCAGACACTTTTAATATCTTTTTAACTTTTCAGATTTCAGATTTAAGATTTATCAAACGCCACCTAAGGTTTAAAAACAATTATAATGGATTTCCATTATTACGAAACTTTTCTTTTTATTAAGTGGTGTTCCTCAACATGAATTTTTTGTTTTTCTTGTTTCTAAAATATGCCATATCTGCAAAAGAAACATAGATGCATTCTTTTTTTTTTTTTATCAGCAACATAGATGCATTCTTGGATGTTTGATTTTGAAAACAAAGTGAAAATATTTTAAGTTTGATTCAGAAAAATAACATTGTTTCTGAAACAATAAAAAAGGCTTTGAAAAAACAAAAGACGTATTTTCACTTCCATGAGACTGTTATGGGGCTATTATTTGGTTTGTGGCACACACAACAAAATAAACTCTTTTATAAGTTCTACTTTAACACTTCTCTGCATCATACCAACCGACATTTAGATTGATTTGAGTCCAAAGTATAAATAAAAATAAAAACATGAAAGATGAGCAAATGTTGAACCATCATAGCCAATATCAGAATCTTTTTGAGTATTGTATGCTTTTCGAAACATAATGTTGAACCCCCATGGGAAAACATATTTTTGAAACCAATTGAAGTACATATTTCTGTTTTTAGTTTTGTAAACAAGGAGGGGGGTCCGTGGAGGTTGAGTCATTATCTGTCAGAGGCAAGAGACTCCTTGGAAAATTTAAATGTTAATCTGATGTGGATACCGAGGGAGATGAATCATATTGCAGGTGGATTAGCTAAAATTGGAGCCAACCTAGAAAATTTATACAGCAACAGGCTTCCCCCTTGTAATTTTGAGTTTCTGCTGTTTAAGTTCTCTTTCCTTTATTTAGTACATCTGCTCATGTACTCCTTGTCTTATTTAATGATATCTGATTAACTTTTTCTCAAAAAAAAAAAAAAAAAAGAAAGAAACAAGAAAAGCACTGAACAATCAAGAACATGTTTTCTGCTTTTTGTTTAAGAATCTTTTTTTTTTCAAACCAGGTGTGGGAACTTTGCTTTTGGAAGCAAAACAAGAAAATTCATGTTAGAAAACATCCCTAAGCCTGTTCATGAATGGGCAAATTTGTGTATTGACAAAGCCAATAAACCTTTGCATGAGATTATGAGAAAGAGTTTTGTGGTGCTGATATCATTCATCATGTGCCACTTATTCTTTTCCCACATTGAACATTGCATTTTTCATATTAGTTGATTCCTTTTCTTAATCTTTCAGCTCCATTCTCTTAAACGGGTACGAATAGGTGGTTTCAAGCTTCCATCAGATCTGGGGTAATTTCACCACTGAACTCTTTATTTTGGATTTTGAAGGAGATATTGTCACAATGTTGAAAATTCCTCCTTGCCTTCGTGACAAGTTTTACTTGGAGCACGCGATTATAATATATTGAAGGACTGCTAGGTTTTCAGTTTTTGATGAGACTTATAAAACCTACTTAAGGATTTGAAATGACACTATACTACTTTGGAGCACAACTATTTGAATGAACATAATTCCATAAAAAATTATGTTCTTTTCTCGCTCCAAGAATCTCTACACATACATACCATTATTCTATTGCATACATAATCTAATTTTAGTATCATTTTGTCACATCTATGAAGTACCTCAATGTGGGTTTAGAAAGGAATTAATCCCTCTGCAATTTTAGAGTTTTATATAGACAGGAAAAATGTGCAGAAATGTAGAGCAACTGTGAAATTTGATGGGTTTATTGGAATTAGTTGGGATTTTGATGAATCAGAAGAAGATTCATCTTGATGACTTGATCAAACTTGTATGTAGTCAGGAGCAGGAATCACACTGCAAAATGGGGCTTTCTTTTCCCTTGCAATTTTATAGAGTTTTGTCAACTATGGAGTGTGGCCCTAGTTTTCTTTAGGGGATTTGGCTTCTCTTGCTTGCATTCTGCTTAGTTTTATATAAACTTATTGAACATGAATTTGTGTAACCTTACCATGGGACTTCTTTGGTACCATAGTTATAGACAAATTTGTGCCTTAAAGCTCATACCTGTGATATTAATTAATTTTGTTTGTACACAATTACTATTTTTTTGGTAGAAATGTTAATGTACACAATTACAGAAATTTATTTATATACTCGTAAATGGAAATCATGTAAATGCATATTTAGAAGAAAGGTAAAAATAAAGTGTATGGCAGACTAAGATATGCTTGAGTGAGTTAAAGGTACCATCAATGCCATCATTGACATGATGATAGACTGATTTCTGACATGTCAAATTGCGGGAAGCTGGAATTGCTTACAAAGGTGCAAATGAGTGCATTTTGAGACATACAAGACGTAAAATAGGACCACTACATACAATGTAACCACACTTGAGTGCACTATATCCTGTGATATTTGAGGAAGGGATAATAGCATCAATTTGCTAGTTGGATGTTTTCATTTTATGCCAATTGCCTCAATCATGGGGCTGATCAGGATCCATTTACCTAAATTATCTGATTGACTTCTGAATCAAATTGCTATAGGCTGAAACTTATGCATGAATTCATCTGTTTCCTTGATCTTTGTGCATGCTATGTATTTCCTATAGTTCCGTTGCTTATTGCTCTAAGATTGTCATGATTACTTTAGGCTTGGCAAGTATGTTGAGTTAAAACAAGGAGACCTCAAGTCTTTGGGTGGGACGAGTTAGACAGGAGCTATACGATGATAGAGATGGACTTTAGTACACTGCAAATACGGGTTGGTCACTGCACATCTTCACATCATTTTGTTGAAGGAACATCTGTATCCACATCATGTTATTGTCTTCTTATTATATTGCAGATGATCATTAGATGGATTCATTGAATGATGTGTTCGGCTGCCCCACGTGTGTAAGTTTCCTGTTTATAGTATTTGTATTTTGTTATTTGAGATGGGGGACCCCATCCCTTTGTTTTTAGAGAGGGGGTGGATGATGTAATGGTAATAATGCCATGCCATGCAAAAACTGATAAGCTATCCTATTTTTGGTTGCTAAATATCTGAAGATGACAAGATATTCTTTGGTACAACAATTGGGACAAAAATGTGAAAAAATATTGCCAAGTAACATTTTTCTTAGAAAAAAGAACCTTGGATATGACACTAAACAGAACAGAATCTCAAAACATGATTCATATAGACAACCCAATAAGGCTTAGATGATGACGATGATGATGCCTTGATTTATTTGTTTGTTTTTCTAGGATAAACTTGCCTTACAGATTGGAGTGACAAAACAAGGGACTGCTCCTTTGATGATTTGAATAAGAACCTCATTATCATTTTCCAATCTATGTGGAGAATATGGTTAACCCCCATGATCTCAAACAAATAATGTGTAAACTGATCTTTGGTGACCTTAGTTGGCAAGCCAATCCACAGTTTGATTGCCTTCCCATGTTGATAATTTATTCTGACGTTCACATCTTCTCCAATCTTCACACACTCCTTTATGACGTGACATCTCCATTGCAGTTTAGCTCGAACCGTTAAGCACTTAAATAGTTTTATTGGAATCACCTTCAACTTCAATTATGACAGTGAGGATAACCTAGTTCTTCTTCCATTTTGTGAGCTTCCAAGCTGGCACACATCTCCACAACCATGATCGAACTTCGAAGACACCAATCAGGCCGGGTGGGGTCCATTTGACCCATATGATTTTTCTTCCTTTTTATTTTATTTGTCCCATAATATTTTATTGGGCTTCAATATAATCTATTTTCCATAATATATTTTATTGGGCTTTCTTTATTTTCTCCAGGGGCCTATGCATTTTGTTATTGAATATTTTTTCATTCCTATTTTCCATTAATACCATAGCTAGTTTTTTCCCAATGGTAATCATATACTTATCTTTTTTGTGTTAATCAAATTCTATCCACTAGTCTAGAATAATTAACTGGTTTGTTTCATATTTCGGACTGGGTTTTACATGCCCCGTACCCGACCCTGAATTGAAATTACCCGCCCTCTTTCCGCCCTGAATCCCGGCGGGGCTAAAAATCTTAACCCCATCCCCGTCCATGTGGGGAACGGGGATCTCTGACTTTGTCCCGCCTCGCTCGGATCATTCTTACTTGTATATTTATAAATTTATTTTTTTATTTTTTTTGAAACGTACCTAGAACTATTTTATATAATATAATATAATATGTATTAGTATATGCATTAGTATATATTAACAATTTTATATATGTTATGTTATATAAAATAGTCGGGTCGGGGTGGACATACCATCCCCGACCCCCCAGAGTTTCGGGTTTTCCTTGAATCTGCCCCATCTCTATGGAGACCGAATCAACCCCCCACAACGTCCCACAGCACATCCCTGCCGTGTATTGGGAACATCTCCCAATGATGACATTATTATTCTTGATATTATCACGAGATGTTCCCAATACACGGCAGGGATGTGCTGTGGGACGTTGTGGGGGGCAGTCTTGTGGGGGGGGCTGATTTGAACTCTATGAAGGATGACCAAACTCCAGATCTCTTGTGGTCTTGCCAACAAAACACATTCCAACACATCACAGATTTCACCATGAGACTGGGACCCAACATGTATGAGATGTGCAGTATTAGATCATCTTGGTAGGGTGTCAGCAAGAGACCCAATTCACTTGGCTTGCCATTTGATGGGATATAAAAATATGATTAGCATCCTCCGGCCACTTGTTTTGCATTCTGGGACAATTAATTTTCCTTCTAATTAATTCCATCTTTAGGCTGCGTTTGGAAACGATGCAAATGCAAATGGAGTGTAAATCCCGGTTCAGGGTAAATTTGTTCTTTGGTTCACTTTTGCCTGTGTTTGGCAACATTACATTTATGTATTGGCAAATGACAGACCAATGCATATTTACATTGATAATATGTGAAAGTACATTAATAAAAAAGATGTAAATTTGCACTCAAGTGGGCTTTTGATAAAAAGCATATGCTTTATTGGAATTCATGTTTGCATCCATTACAGCTAAAAATCTGTTTGATAAGAAGGTAAAATTGTCAATTTAAAACTAACCCAATTTTACAATTTATATGAACCGTTTTACATTCTACATATTTGCATTCACCCTTATTTACATTGTTTCCAAACACAGCATTAGGCTCAGTTTAGATGGAGTACAAATACAAGTATGCACAGTGTAAACCTTGTATTTAATTTGTATTATTTTGTATATATTTATTAATAGTGTACATATATGCATTTGTGCTCTTTCCAAAATGAGCCTTAGGAGTTTTTCAGGTATGATACATTTTTGGTTGAAATAATATAATCAATTTATATTTCCTTTCTCTTTCTTGATTGGTCTCGAAAAAATGTAGGAGTTCCATTAACATAGTGTTTGGAAGTGTGGGCACTTTTTGGGACCGATTTTCAAGAAAAAATGCCCATGCTTCCAAGACCCGTTTTTTACAAAAAAAAAATAAAAAACGCTTCTACCACGTAGGCAGTGAGCAACACTATGCTGTTTGGTAAGATGATTTTCATCACCTTTTTCATGTATGTGCTAATAGGTAAGCACCACATAGGATACACATCAGTCAACCATTGGGGGAAACGGTTCATCGATGCATGAAACGCCAAATTTGGCGTTTGTTGAATCGGTGGGGTCTCAATTTTTAAGGCATGCCCGGTTTTTTAATAATCGGCTGAACTAAACAATGAGATACATGGACATTTATTGAAACGCCTATGTGGATCCGATGTGGCACCATTTTTCTGAAAAACGACCATGGTTCCAAACATCCCCTAAAACTCTTACTTCCACCAAAATTTATGAGATTTGAAAGTCTTCTCCCAACTTCAAACAAGTAGCTAGCCGAAAAAAAAAGGGGTAAATAAAACCTTTACCCAATGCTTTCAATATCTTATATTGACATGAGTCTCATTTTTTAGATGAAATGGATGGTTAAGTAACTTAAACCTGATCTAATCTCCTAAGATAAAAATAAAGGCCATTACCAATGCTGGTCCCAGCTATCTACGTCTTGGGAGGATGGACTAGATACAGTTTTAACCCTTTTTTTTTGCAGAAAGAGACCATGATCTGATTCAAACAAAAATCCCAACCAAAATTCACCCTGTGAATAGTGGGCTCTAAACAAAATATGTAATAGGATGGTCATTAACTAGTATTCATTATAGAGAAAATCACAGAAAAACTCAAAGAAAGTAGCTCAATTCAAGTTAGCCCCATTAAAGAATCCTAAGTATTTGGAGTCGGCTATGAATTCTATCCTGCCAATTGTTCTATCAAAAAGCATTGTTTTATTTTGGGTCAAATTAAAGAAAGAATGAGTGCATGACCCACGCTTTTTTTTTTTAAAAAAAAAAAATCATCCTACGAATTTATGGCAACAAATTGGTGGGACTTTCAACACTGTCTGTTTTCAGTGTGTTCAGTTGGAAGTCATTGTTGGGGCCCCATATATAATAGTTAAAAAACATTTGAATTAATTTGACTTTTTCTTGACAACCAAATTACCAAAAGAAGTCTCATAAGTTATCCCTTTCATTTTCTTCCTTTCTGACTTTTTCTCACCAACCAAATGCAGCCTTATCCTTTCTTTTCTGACTTGATCTAGATGACTAAATGCAGCCCCAAAACTAAGACCATTCCCTTGGGGAGGGCAGGGTGGTCTTTGTGTCTTCCCTCTCTGGAGGTCCTTTTTTATGGTATAGAATAAACAGTAGGAGGATTGACCCAAGGGAGATGACCTCCCTACAACATCATTAAAGGGCCTACATATTTATAATCATTTTGATAAAATGTATACTCTTTGAATAAGATTCAAAATATACATATGTATCAATTGTCAAGGTCATTGATGCATGCTTTATTAAGAATTTTAACTTTCTAAAAAGTTTCAATCGTTGACAGAGCCCATACCCCATCCGTTATTAATCTGTCTAAACAAAAAAGTAAATCATAAGTAGAAATAAACAAGAGTTACATAGTTCAGAACTCTCAGTACACAAAACCCGCATATTTAGGGTATTCACACTATATATGAGCCTTGCTCATCAATGCAACAATGGATGGTCATCGTCATTAACTATAGTTTGTTATGGTGGAAGAAAAATGGTATCTTAGACTTTCTAGCCACACCAATAATATGATATTCATCCCTATGCATAAACCAGCATTTTGACTTAGTTTTGAGTCCCAGCTGAATTATATGACACAAGTATTGAAATTTCATGTCTTAAGCTAAGGAATTTCCAGAAGAAATCCAAATTGGAACGTGCTATGTAAATCCGTTGAGGTTAAAACCTACTTCCAATTTAAAAATGGTGGCAAAGTTTGTGGAGATTGTTATTAGGATTGAATCCTGTCTTCACCTTCCATGGCCCATGACCAGGAGCTATATTTAATATGACAGATTTCACCCACTCTGTTGTTTTATCTTTGAAGGAACCAAAACTGAACCTTTTTTTTTTTTTTGGTACGCCAAAGCATTTTCCTTCTATTTTCTCCAAGAAAATGCACGTTAATGAATCAAACCCACATACATTATGGACACCATTTCCTATTTGTCATCACTTAACTGAGGTCTGTCTTTTGTTGGTAGAAACCAGAGAAAATATGAGAAAATGGGCAACAAACGTGCAAATTTTTCTCTCTGGTGCTCAAGAGGGCGCTCCACATGCACATCTCAGTGTAAATTGGAAACATCTCCCAAAATTGTCAGTGGGAGATGTTCTCAATACATGATTGGGATATGCTGTGGGGTGTTTGTGGGGCGTAGGTTTGAATTCAACCCCAGGCATTCCGTCTCAAGTCTCTCTGGAAGAATTAATCAACTGGAGACCTCACCAATTAACCCGCCAGCATCTTGTGATATCAAGTTTTGCTCCATGGGACTACACAACAGGAGGTAAGCCCATCCCTACGCCCAAAACCTTTCCAACCATAATGCAGGTAGGATTAAATCCCAAGTCTCTGCAACAATCAGACAAAACCCTACCAACCAACCAGTTGGCACCTTC